GCACGGCTGCGGGGGTGAAGGGGTGCCGGAGGTGTGTTTGGAGCTGGGCCGGTGGTTGTAGGCGTTACCAGGAATCTTGGGGAATAATACCAGTGCTGTGCAGGCTCGATTCTTCCCCTCTGCTCCGGAAGGGTTACGAGAAGAGGCTGAGTTTCTCCAAAGAGACGTTTGTCAGGCAGCAGGCTCAGTAGGATTCGATCATATTTTTTGTAAGGAGTTTTCAGATGGTATTCTTCAGTTCTACATGGTGGTAGACCTCCAGGAGGCAATAAAGGACACGTTTGACTTCCACAGGAATTTTTTTTAAGTAAATTGCATCTAGTTCTCATATCCTTTCCTTGCAGTTTACCAGGTCTTTGAAAGTGTGGCCGAGAAATATGATGTAATGAATGATTCGATGACTCTAGGGATTCATCGAGTGTGGAAGGATATCCTTGTGCATAAAATGAACCCTTCCCCGGGAACACTTCTTCTTGATGTTGCTGGAGGAACAGGTAAATAATTTTGGTGAGTTCCCCATGGCAATGCCACACTGTTTTTGAACTGTTTGAGTCTGCTCTGACTCAAGTTGCCTAGCCTTTTTTTTTTTTTTTTTGCCTCAGTTCCCTGTTTGAAAAACTAGTGAAGTATCTACTTAATTTACACAGAGAAGGGTTGAGAGCTAACTTGTGTTTTGAAATATCTTGCTCCAAAGCTCTGAAAGTATTATACTACTGCTATGACATGTTATGGAAAACTGTTCCATTTGTAGGAAGTCATGGACTCTGCTTTTAGTATGTTCCCTTTATATATTTATATATATATACACATACACTCTCTGTTTCTCTATACTGTGTGTGGTTTTTATTTTTATGAATCTATATAAATAAGAATTAACTCAGTTTGATGTTCAAAGCCTTATGTTCCAGTTTCCTGGAGTTGGAAAACGTTCCAAAACATATACCTTTCTTTCAAAATGAATGCAGGTGACATTGCCTTTCGATTTATTAATTATGTTCGCTCTGTACGAGAACGCCAGCTCCAGCGGAAGCTTAAGCGCCAGCAGAATTTATCATGGCAGGAAATTGCTGAGAGTTACCAGGAAGAGAAGTTTAAGTCGCTAGGGGATTCCCAAGTGGTGGTCTGTGACATTAACAAAGAAATGTTAAGAGTTGGGAAGCAGAAAGCACAGCATCTTGGCTATTCTGAAGGTAAGTCATGCATTGCACCGTTTCAGTACCATGCCCAATAGCAAGAATTTGACACGTGATAGCCATCAGGTAATCAGCACCTGAGGATTACAATACACATCATATAGCCATGGTGTACACTATAACTATGCTTGCATATTTGCCAGTGTTAACTTTTTCGGTGAGCATGTATGTACTATGTTGTTCGGATGTACAGTGATCCTCTTCAATAATACTTGAACTTTCAAGTACCCATGAGGTCTTATACCTAGCTATCCTTCAAAACTGGTCAAATAATCTAAACCTGCTGTTTGTATCTGTGCAAATGAATCTGATTTTACTAAGGCAGATAATGCAAAATTGCTCAGGCCTAAAATGATTACACTAGAGATCTTATAACGGGTATTTTAAGAATCAAGGCAGCAGATATAAAAAATGCAAGAACTAAAGTATATTGTGAACCTATAAAACGTTCCACAGTTAAGAGCGTATGCTAATAATACTCAGAGAAACTGAATTATATTAAATGTTAGTTTACAGGTCAATGGATTAATTCACTGATATCTAGAATTTGTTGGGGACCACGCCAATCCTGATTGAAAAGCCTGATTTTAAGAAGTAAGACATAGAGAAAGAAGTTCTGCTTGTGGCTCAGCGTTTGTATGATAGTTGTTTATCCTCTCTTCGTTTATGGATATTGGGCAAATATTTTAGCAATGTAAAGTATAGTATACCAGGAGGTTCCCAAACTTTGTTTGCCCGGGTACCACCATTACGAATGCCCTCAGCAGCCTCTGCGTGCGTGTGTTACGAGATCTGTATTTTTCACTGTTCTCTGCTCCCACACCCGCACGGGGACTCCTGTCACAGCTGCAGCCAGTGAACCACCTCACATTTACCACTTGTGGGCAGCTCCTGGCACTAGGGGAGTGTGTGTGATTGTGGGGCCTTGCAAACGGTCCTCCAAGTGGTGAATTTCCTACCTGCAAATTGCGTAGGCTAAAGGATGTACAGAACAGCTCTGTAGCACAAAGGGGCTGAAAGATAAGCTGCTGGCATAGGTTCCCTCAGCTGCTCTTGCTCCCTGCTGGTAGGTAACCCCAGGCTGTTTCCTGGCTGTCTTTCCCTTTTCTTTAAGAAATGAACTAATTGTGAAAGCATTGGCTCTTCCAGCTCTGGCAGATTGCTTGCATCGTGCTTATCCAAGCAGCTTGTCAGCCTGTCCAAAGCTGGTTTTAGGCATCATAGTTTGGGAACATCTGAACTGTACCAACATTATAATTACAAAAACTTTACCACATAGCTTAGGACCTAAAATAAAGCTTGATGCTCCCTCACAGCTACTATAAGTAAAGCATTTTGTTTAATTGGCTGCACTTTTTAGGTACTTTTATGACTTATCAAATTCTCAAGATGAGTATTTATGTTTTTTAATTTAATTCCCTTGTACATCGTAGCTGTAGAAGCCCAACTGTCTTCTTGTTGCCTGGGTTGCCTTATGCCCCACTGTGCCACAATTCCGACTTCTTACTCTTGTTCATTCCCTCTTTCAGCACATATCCGTTTAATACGTCCTACCTTCTGTTTTTCATGCGATTCCTCCCTGTTGCAGTAATCTAATTTCTGAGCTTGCTTATCTGTTGAATGTCTGAAGTCTGAATTTTTTTTTTTTTCTTAATATCGTAAGAGGCAGAGTTTTCTTTCACTATGTTCCTAGGTACATCCACCAACAGTGGGGGCTGTGCATGCCAAAAATAAACGTGTTGCAGAATGGCTGATTGTGCGTTTTGGCCAGCAGCAGTGGTAGGCTCCACTGCACGTGCTCCAGCTCCCCTTGTTGGACACCAACAGCTGCTTTTATGTCTCCTCTTAAAAACTCCTGGCCTGTGACTTTACCACAGTGTATTCCGAAGGACAGTTTTCCTGTTGCTCAAAACCTTTTCTTGATGTTCACTTCTTAGATGTCTTTTCAAACTGTCTAGCTTTAAATAACACTAATAATTGTTGCTTTAATAATGTTGCATGCTGCTTTGCATATAATACTTTCTACAACTAAATATATATATTTGCAAAAACGAAATTTTAATGTCTCCTGGCAACAACTGTTGTTTTGTTTTCTGTTTTGTTCTCCTCCATGTGGCCTTTTAGCATATTGCCTTTTGAAATTGCTGATCTCTGCAGAAGACTCCTGGTTTTTTTATGGTTTTTTGTTTGTTTTGCATTTGAGTCACCAAAAATAGTGACTTTAAGAACTATTAATTCTAAATTGAGCAGTCTTATTTTTGGTACAAATAACCTGGACATCCATGCTTCACAGAGAGACATGGCCTTCATCCGTTGGGGTTTGAGAAGCAACACAGCTAGAACAGGATCACATACTGATAGTGGTGCTGGAGGGAGTGGGGATTTTCATCTTCCTCGGTCTATGGAAGCTTTCTAGCAAAATGTTTTAAGAGTTTTGGCCATTGTTGCATGGCAAGACATTAATAATTGTTTATAGTTACTCCCTGAGGAGAGATTATCTTTTTGTAACTTTGCTACAAACAAATGGCAGCCAGTTTCTGGAAAGCCAGTTGCTTTCCACTATGGTACAAGATTTGGGTGAAATCTGCTTGTTGAACTAAGGCACTGTGAGCACAACATGCATGTATAGGCAGAAGAATGTTTTGGCTGATCTGCATAATTAACTACTTTGCTTGAAAGACAGCTGTATAGTACAGGGCCTTGAAAGGTTACTGAGTGTAGACAAAGGTGTCTTTCCTCCAATAAAAATGCAAAATTGAAGTATTAGTTTAAAATATCATTTTATTAATAATAATTTCCTTCTGGAATAGGTAAGTTCTAGTCTTTCTGGAGCAGTCTGAGTTCAATTCTGTGTCCTTGGCTTTTATTACAGGCTTGTCCTGGGTGCTTGGGAATGCTGAAGAGTTGCCTTTTGATGATGATAAGTTTGATGTTTATACGATTGCCTTTGGAATCCGAAATGTAACTCGTATTGATTTGGTAAGTTGCTACAGTCTGTCCTGACATGGGGTCCTTACAATTCACCTGAGGTTTTTTACTCTAGTGGAGGCAGCAAAGGAAGAACTCCTTTGGATAAAGGAACATCTTTGTCTATTCCTGAAACATTTAAAATAAGTTGCATGTACTGTGCAGCTTGTTTGAATGAAGAAGACAATTAAATGCCCCACCTATGTAATAAAAAGTTAGATTTATACTTGTTGCGCCCAATCGTTCCAGCTTGGCAAGCCACACAATCTCTTCCTAAGGCAAAAAGGGCTGAATACTACAGTCCTTCCCACTTTCCAGCCTACGATATTACTGTATCTACACATGCACAGTGCAGTCAGTCTGCATTTCTCAAATCTTCCTGAAGCACCCGATCTGTATCCCACCTGCAGTGAGTCCAATGCTTTCTGCTCCATTCTGTTTCCCCGCCTGAGCCAGCAGAGCTGCCAGAGCAGAGAGTGGGAAGCAGCTGGCTGCTGCCACCACTGCTGTTGAACTAACTCACCCACTGCTGCTCAGTGTCTTTGCACTGGCTGGTAGTAGGGTTTCCTGTGAAGAATGAGTACGATCTTTATTAGGGTAAATTGTACCCTTTGTTCTAAATCTGTCCTTCAAGAATGACTAGCTGTACTGTGGGAGAAGATAGATCACCTGTCTAGCTGGATTAGTTGTCTGTTTTGGAGGAGCGTGTTACAACCTTGTCAGTGCTCCTTCTGTGGAAGGTGTAGCATTTGGATCCAAACCACCTTGAACTGAATGCCTTTGAACTTCTCTTAATGTGGATGGCCTTTCGTGATGCATCGTCTGCACCCTTCCGAAGCACAGGCTCTTTGTCTCATACCCGTTTGCGAATACAGCAGTCTGGTAGGATAGCTCCCTGGAGACCTGACACAAAACACATCCAAACCTCCAGTTCTTTAGGAGAGCTCCTATCACAGATGTGTACTGTTGATATTTTTATCTGTTAGGAATATGACAGTTGAAGCCAAGCAGATGTGCAGCCTTCAGAGGTTCTTGAATATAACTCTGCTGTGCTCTTATATGAAAAAACACAGTTGTAAACAGACCATTGTCTTGGTTCTTAGGTGGGTTTTTTTGGATATAGGATGGAATTTTCAAAGTAGGCAAAGATTTTCTTCTTCCCTTTCCTTCCTCCCTGTTCTCACACATTGCTCATCCAAAACCCAGTATCATTTCTTCTCTGATCTTTTGGGTGTGCCTCACAGTTGAGTAAAATCTTTTCTTTTGATTTAAAAAAAAAAAAAAATCTATCATGCTCTCTTTTCATTTTCAGCTTCTAGTAGCTGAGTCACCTTCTCCCTTTTGGGTTTGGTCTGTAATTACCAGAGCTCTGCTGGCAAACATTCATCTAAGAATAGGGAAAAAAGAAAAATTGCAAACCTGACACCATGGTTTTGACACAAAGCCTGGTATAAATCTATTTATGTAACAGCAAGAGTTTTTGTGGGTTTGGTTTGTTTGTTTGTTTGTACTTGTCCTGGGATGCTTCTCCACAAGTAAATATTGGAGACTGCCAATCAGGATTCTCTTTACTCCCTTCAGTTCATCACTGAGTTGCCACCACATGGCATGATATAGGCAGGTGCTGTTCTACAGAAACAAGCTTATCGCATCTGCTTTGACTCAGGCACTTCAGGAGGCTTATCGTGTGCTGAAACCAGGAGGAAGATTTCTCTGCCTTGAATTTAGTCGTGTCAGCAACCCTCTTCTTTCCAGGTAGGAACATGGTGATGCTATGCTATGTCACAAAGCTCTCTTATTTATACTCAGCCAGAATAAGAAGTGGAGACACTTTGAGGCCACCTCATTGTGAACCTTTAGAATCAGGCACAGATTCCATTGTGTGGTGTTGCAGACATCAACTTGTGTGGGTTGGTTTTAAACTTTTTTGTATTAATCCGTATTTGCTGTCTGTCTCTGCAGGCTCTACGATCTATACAGTTTCCAGGTTATCCCTGTTCTGGGTGAGGTTATTGCTGGTGACTGGAAGTCTTACCAGTATCTTGTGGAGAGTATCCGACGTTTCCCCCCTCAGGTAAGAGAGTATTTTTCACTAACACACGAAACACTGTCCCAGCATAATCTTGCAGGCAGCTAATAGGCATTCAGGTTGTTATAATTATGGAACTATTATTTTTCAGGAGGAGTTTAAGGCAATGATAGAAGATGCAGGATTTTTTAAAGTGGATTATCAGAATTTAAGCTCGGGCATTGTTGCCATTCATTCAGGTTTCAAACTGTGAGTCTACTAGGTAGCAAAACACAGGAAATGTAATTTTCCTGAGGAATATGAAGGTTGTGCAATTTTAACGCTATCAAGATTGAAGAGGAGTTTTAAGAACTTGCGCAACAGATAGTTGCTCAGCAGTCAGACCCAGAAGAACATCAGCTGCCTTTTTCCCCCAAGAAACCTGCGGATGAAGTGACTGCTGTGGTGTTTCTTACACTTGCATTTCCCTTCAAGTGCAATGTAAAGGACAGGGCCAGAACTGAGCAATGCTGACACGTGAAGCAACTTCAATTACCAGTGATATGGATACAGAAATAGACTGATGAGTCTTTGAATAAGATACCTCCTTTTTTTTTTTTTTTTTTTACTAAGCTTCAAGGAGGATACTGTACCAATGAGAAGTAACTTGTATTTATTATTTTTTATTAAGCTGTCATTATGTTTAGCATTTGGACTCTAAGGGATTTTTCCCATTATTCTTCTTTCAAAGGCAAATAGAAGTCTTGTGAAATAAAACAGCTTTACATTAACTTTTTTCACTTAAGTCAGTATTTTAACCTTTCTAAGAAGGTATCCTTTCTAAGAAAGGGTTTTTTTTCTTGAGGAGAATGACCACATAAGTATTTTGGGATGAGATGACATGTTTTCACCTCCATATGAAATCTTTGTCATTGCTAGATGCATAACCTCTCCATAAAAATACTGTGCATTTCCTTCTGCTCCTTAAACTAAACTGATGAACAGATGCTCCTGTAGCAAGATACAGGAATAGAGTAAAAAAAATAAAATCTAGATAAGGTAAAATTTTACATTCTAGTATGAAAATTTGTCTCCTGAAAATTGGGAGATGAAAGGACTATTGCTTTTAGCTCACCAGTTCACTTGAAACTAAACAAGCAACACCATGTATCTAAACTCCAGAATTTGCACAGGAAATTGTGCATGCTGAAAATATGCTTATCGAGGACTGAAGAGCAGTCTCTCCTCTCTCAGGGAAAATAGTTCCTGTTCTCAGTCACTGACTGATGGCATATTATAGCTCAGGCTGCAGGTGTTGTGGATTAGGGGGGTGAAAGGGAGGTGGGGATGTTCCTCCTTCATTCCCAGTGGAGTCGAGAGAGTAATGCAAGCACTAAGAGGGCAGAAGGGTAGAGAAAACTCTTAAAGGATAAAACATGTTTGACAGTTTTATTAGCAAACAAGCAGTCTTTTGAAAGAAAATAAATACAAGGAAGACATTTTTGCCTTGTTTGTAACCACACTGAAAATACCAGCTGCTACAGCAAAATCCCTGACCATTAACAATACAACCAAAGACCTGAAGATCAAGGTCTGGTTCCTCAGGAAGGCTGAAGGTAGGAGGCTGTTTGGAGTTAGTGTACAGTCCTGTAACCAGATGCAAGTTTCAGTAACAGTCCGTGGTTCTACCCAGACTTGAAAAGAAGAATAGCGACTTGGCCAAGGTAGAAGTAAATAAAGTGCTTGGTCTCATGAGTCACATAGCTGCCAAAGTTCCTTCCCACAATGCAGTGCCAAGTGGGATTGTATTTCTTGTCAAACTCCTGCAAAAGAGAGAACTAGGAACTCAGCATTTTTGTGAGAATTGTACTAATATTTTTAACAGGGTTTTTTGCAATGATATGTCACTTGTTAGTAAGTATCACTTGTGGAAGAAGGCAATTAAGGAGCAGCATATGCTCTTAAGTGCAAGGATCATCTGTCATTTTATAACTCATATGCTGCTTAGTCAGACCAAAAAAGAAAAGTGCTGCCAAGCTGAGCAGGAATAAGCTTAAAATATATGTTTGGGGAAGTAACTTTTCCCGAAAGGTCATACTGTGATCTCAAACCATAACTTTTACAAACTTCAGTACTTGTTCTGAATCTATACAAGTAAAGCTGTTGCTTCGACTTCATTGGCTGTTTTCAATAAGGATGCTGAAAGGGCTCCAGATGGAAAATTCTCTGCCACTTCTTTGATAACCGCATCACGAGACTATGTTCTTCCTACACACTAGTCAGGAGACTGCTATGACTTTCAAATAAACTTGTGTGTGCAAGTCTACTGTGAGTAAAACCATGCAGTCAGTGGTTACGTGCTGCAGTATTGAACAGCTGTCAGCTGAAGAGACTTTTAGTTAGAGCATCCAAGAGTTTGTCAACTACTTGCAGCTCAGTGAGGCTGACTCAGTAGGAGTCAGAGAAAAAAATCTGACAAACTGGAAGCTATGAACCATCTGTTCTGCATGAGCATGAACAGTTTGTCTTACATGTTGTGGTGGAAAAAACACACAACAAAACTACTTCTTAGGACAAGGTCAGCATCCCACCACTTCTCAAAGAGTCTCCATAGAGCCCCTGTGTCTTGTACCAGCTCA